AGGTGAGAGTGGAATTAACACTGTAGACTTAAAAGTTCAATAGTTGAATGTTTGATGGATATTTCAACTGATATAAAATATAAAAAACTAAATATGATACGTAATCTAACTCTGACAGCTAGCCAATCAAATGACAAGGGAATGAATGAATAAAAGGTGGATTTGTGCATTTGAAGAAATTATACAACACAAGTCATAATACTTCTCTCTTCTAAAATCAATCATTATACATTTGTGGTGAGAGCAGGCCGTGAGAAAATATGTACAGGGCTGATTCAACAACCAATCACAGCAGACTTAACGTGGCAAAATATGATTCGCAGATAGAGAACTCTATTATTCGAGGAATCCCGAAACAACCAATCAGAAGCCTGCGTTTGTCTACTTGACTAGGCTATAAGTATGTAAGTGAAATATATATAAATACGTGTTGATTTTCGTAATAAAACGATATGTTGCCTGGCCCTTGTCTTCTCTTGTTACATTTGGTGTCGCTGCCTACCTACAAATGGAAAGCCTATGCCCTGCTGTTTTTGATGGAGACATATGGATCTTCGGGCAGGACTTCAAGGCTTCTGCGCAGTTGAGTGGCGTTCAAGATCTGTCAGCGATGGAGCTGCTACTTGGGACGCTGCTGGGAGGTCGGGTGAAAGCAGCATATGAAAGTGTGAGACGAAATACTGACGAATGTTCGACAGGGTCAGGCAAACAGTTTCCAAAGTGGGAAGGACCACATATGGTCACTTCGAGATGGGATTACGCGGACACAATCGCAATGACGAACAATGAGAGGCGCGTGAACGTCAGCGAGCTCCAGAAATGGATACAGCGAGTCAAGCCGACGATGACGCCTGTACCAAGTAGATCAAGCCAACTTCAGTCGCACGTATTTGACAGGGGGACGAGTGTGGTGACAGCAGGCCGTGAGAAAATATGTACAAGGCTGAGTCAACAACCAATCACAGCAAAGTTAACGTGGCAAAATATGATTCGCAGATAGAGAACTCTATTTGTCGAGGAATCCCGAAACAACCAATCAGAAGCCTGCGTTTGTCTGCCTAACTTCTGATAAACAACCAATCAGACGACTGCGCTTGTCTATAATAATGTATGTGAAATATGTATAAATACGTGTTGATTTTCATAATAAAACGATCTGTTGCCTGGCCCTTGTCTTCTGTTGTTACACATTTATAAATTCTTTGAGTAAAAATTACCAAACTTCTGTACATAATAGATTTTGTATACATTTTTCTAAAAAAAAATATGTCAACATCATCTAAGTAGTCGTTAGCTTTGGTAACGGATGATAATTCTTGTATATTGAGGGCTTTTTAACACCATCGATTGAGTGCACTCAGGTGCTCGGTTTCAGATTAACATATCAGCTCCTTGTTCACATGCATCGATGATGTCTGGTGACTATCAGTGGAATCCAAGATAAAACACATTCCATCCTTTTCGAGGATCATCTAGTCAGCTGGATGTATCTGCATTCTGTAGTGGATCAGTGGTGGTTTGTTCTCATCGAGGCTAGAACATGACCAGACATCGCCAAAACATCTGCACAAGTAGCCGATCGAGAGACTGAGGCATTTGGGTACAATTATCAATCAATCGACGGGAAAATCTAAATTAATAAAAACCGTGTCGCACAAGCGGCACCGGGTCTCGTGACCCAAGCAGTCTACGGGATAACGTTTCCGCATCTGAAACTATGCGTAGTGGGTTCAAACCTCGGTGGAAACACCATCACTCACTGACTCAATGTGGAGTGCAGGTACATCCACTAGTTGATGGGTCCCAAATAGATGATGTGAATGAGTGTTATCGTGTATTCTACCGTTAGTCACCCATCTACCAATTATACATGTATCTCATGATGAGGATTACAAACTTTTGAGATATTTGTTTAAATTTAAGATTTACATAGAACACACATTAAGTTTGAAAGATATATTGGAAAATTTCCAAAAATAAGAGTATACGAGAACCTCCATAAAACTGTAGGCTTCTGCAGTTTTACCATATGAACAGGAAACATCTGAAACCCTCCGCATGTAGGATTCTTAACAAAGCAGGGGTTAGGGTGGCATTCACACCTACAAACCCACTCAACTCAGACAAGGACAAGTTCTGTAGGTTAAAGGACCCTATCGGTTGATCCAATTAGACAAAATAATATAATTTTCAAAATAACCTACAATGACTGTGAGTGAGGCCAACTGCATAGGTCAAACTGATAGATCAGGAGTAGTCGGATTTTCTGTCAGAACATAAGAATTCGGCTATGGTTAGAACTTATTGACACCGCGAAGACAGATGACTTATTTAGAAAAAAAAACTCAGCAATCACCTTGGTTGTCTGCATGCATTAACACACAACCACACAATAGGGTGGGAGGGAGAGGGTAAAAATTCTTAGAAGTAATATAGGCAGGCAGGAGAGAGACGTTGGTCACTGACTGAATCTTTCTTCATCGAATAATCTACACTCAACAAGTGCAATAGGATGGATGCAATGACTCATCACTCTCATACCAGAAATATGGAAAATATTATTGCCAATCAAATCTAATCAAATCAAGAGACTAAGAAAAATAGTGGAACTATATAAAAGAAGTTATAAAGTTGTGTGTGAATAGTCCTTCGGATAAGAGATTATGAGCAGTAATGAATTGTGCCAACTAGAAATGTCATTAATGGAATCCATATTACTCTGAATAATCGTAGGAAAAAGTGTGTGTGTGTGTGTGATTTGTCCTATTATCGTGAGAGCTAACTTGGAAGCCAAAAATTATAAACAAAAATTTACGCCAATATTTACGTCCCGATAGTGGGGCCAGAGGACATGACAGAATGCGGATGTGTTGTTGCAGCCTTAGGTTCCACTCGGAATTCAAGAGAATAATAAGACTTTACTATGTTTTGAAATGGTGAACTCCGTATAAAACCGCAGAGTTGAATCATACACAGCACATAAGTTTTCTCGCAATGAACAGTGTCATTCATGATATACCCGATATGATTCAGCCTACAAACATTAAAACTTTTTCTATCTACTGAAAAGTGTACTATTTATTGACATTTATCAAAGATGAACTAAGGTAAGTTCTGTCTCTCTGTCTGTCTCTCTGTCTGGATTCAACATAAAACTTGGCACCCAAGTGCACCAGTTCGAGTTGCCACGTTCCAAATAGCACACACAGGTAGACAAGAAGATGAGTGAAGAGAATTAATAGAGATTCACAAGTATAAGAGTGAAACAGAATGGGTAATGGTAGAAAGGAATATGAAAGATTACAGAGACTGAATACATCTGCGCTGGCCATTGACAACGATTTTGAGCCATGTCACCTATTGTTTCCAGTCATTGATTCCTAGAGTCCCGAGGGCCCCAACGTGGAGGAAGTCTGCATCTCCCCACCTGACTCAGTTTAACTAAGGTTAAGTTAAGATAGGACATCCCCGGTTCTGTAAGTAATTTGACATTTTATCGATGCTGCCGACAGCTGAGATTAGGAAATATATATTCTTTCATTAGGTATCCATCTAATGGAGGTGTAAAACACTACTGATTCTCCAAAAGGATTTCTTAGTTAAATGTTCGAATGTAACCGATTATTTATAACTAGAAATTAAGGCAAATTCCCAGCAGATTGTATCCAATAACCTATGGAATGGTAACGATGAGTGCGAAATGTGCAAACGACAATACTAAACAGTATACTTTCCGCACTAATTAAAATATTTCAATCATGCAATTAGTGCAAGTCAGAAAGTAGGAAGGCTGAACCCTGCCTGTCTTTATAATATTAAATTATACCTACTAGATAATAGAAGAAGGGAATTGTTGTAGTATATGACTTCACTAACATACACTATATGATTGCGAATTGCATATTTAATTAATTATAAAGAAGGTTTATAAGGTGAAATCTTATTCATGCAAGCAGCTTCACTCTTCAGTCTTTCCTTATCTATTTTCTAGGATAATGTTAGTGTCATCGCTAGTTTCCAGCCACAAGAGAATAAATAATGTTACAAGCATAATCACTTGTATTTCTAGTATAGTATAGTATAGTATTATTCACTTTTCTGATGTCAGCTCATAGTGAAATCCTCCATACAATCAAACCAAATCCCTACAAAACCAATACTTGAAAATTATATTTGTAAAATCTCAGCGAAATTGAAATGATTAATTCATATGACAGGACAAACAATTTAAAAACAAGAGATATCCTTTTATTTATAAGCATACAATTTTGTTTGTTAATTTTGAAAGTCTGAGGTCGAATTTCGATCATAGTTCATACAATTTTGTTTATTAAACATATTGATGCCTGTTTCATGGCTCATGATTGGACAAGGTTTCAAAAACAAGAGATGTTCTTTCTGTATATATAAACGTCTGTTATGTTAATTTTCGATTAATTTCCCTGAAGAAGAAGTTCAGACCAAATTGCCGAACTTAGGAAACGTTGGAATTAATCATTTCAATTCCGCTGAGATTTTACAAATATAATTTGATAAACAAAGCTTGTCCTTGAGGAACTCACCAATCAATCACAGTAGACTTAATATGTGCAAATACGATTGGCAGATATATGGCTTAACTTTCTAAGAAACGGTCTTAAGTAGCAGAGAATAACCTCCAGCAAGAAAACAACCAATCACAAGACGTTGCTTCTCCGCTGACAGTTATGTACATAAAATACCTGTAAAAATACCTGTTGATTTCTCACAATAAACGATTTATTGCCTAACCCTTTTCTTCTATCGTTACACTATAAGTTAATTTTAAAAGGAAATTAAGAGTGATATATATATATATATATATATATATATATATATATATATATATATATATATATACGCCTACATTGACTTCCCTTTAGTCAAGTTACATCAATAAATACGTAATTAATGAGGTTTTATGTTGTAAAATCAGTGTTATAAAGAGAGAAAAAACAATCAACAGAACATGAAACACTCACCGTTAACAGTTGACAGGATATAATTTGCCACCATAAATCTAATCGATGAACATTAACTAATCCAATTTCTGTTAATTTTGCAATCGGGAATTCACTTGGTTCCTTAGATGAAATAAAAGAAATAAAGCCAGAAAGTAAGCCAAAGCAAGCAATTAATCTATCGACAGGAAATGAAATAGTTTAATTCTATTCTGGATAATTTAATTTTGATTACAACTTGATTCCACACCGTATTTTTGGTATAAATATGAAATTTTCAGCATGCGATATCGTTAGCGTAAATTTTGCAGACCGACCAACTGATAACAGGTGTGCGTCGGCAGGGGATCGAACCTCGGACCATGTGCATGGTCGGCGGGAGTCCTAACCACTGTGCCACCGACGCACAGTGGTTAAATCACACAGTGGAGTGTTATACAGTAATATTAACTGATGACCACGTTTCGAGCACAAATTATTTCATATTAGTTTGTTTATTAGATGTATCACACAGTGAAACAGTATTGTATACTGGATGACGTTTCGAACAAAATTTATTGTTCATAATCATATCAATTGTGGTCACACGACTTTGAGATTTGAGTTTTATAGTTTTCTCCTATTTGTCGTATGGGCAGTCCTGCATTATAGCATTTATAGAAAAATCAATGCATCCTAATGGATATGTAGATTTTAATTCACCTCATCCGTTAACTATTAAGGCAGGCTTAGTTAAGTGTTTAACGAACCGAGCAGTAGCACTAGGTAGCACAACACAAAACCTAAATGATGCAATAAAATAGACAGAAGAAGCCTTGGTATCAAATAACTGTCCTATAAAATTCATCAGGAACATCAGAAAACGTCATGACAAAAATAAAAATAATGGGGAAACTAATAATGATAACATAAATAAGAGAGAATATAAGTCATCTACTGTTATACTATATAAGGAGGGGACATCTCAGACCCTAAACAGGATTCTTAATAAAGCAGGAATAAGGGTGGCATTCAAACCTACAAACTCAATCAGACAGGGACAAACTCGTTTGGTTATAGGACCCTATCGGTTGATCCAATTAGACAAAATAATATAATTGACAAAATATCCTGCAATGACTGTCAGGTCAACTATGTAGGTCAAAACTAGTAGATCAGGGGTAATCAGATTGGCGGAACATAAGAATTGAGCTAAAGTAAGAATGATTAACCCCGAGAAGATAAGTAATCTAGAATAAAGCTCACCAATTGCAATGCATGCATTAACACACAGACACACAATAGGGTGGGAGAGGGCTAACATTCCAACAAGTAATCTATGTAGGTGGGGAGAGACTGATTAATTACTGAATGCTGCCCGGTTCATCGAGTCAACACCCAACACATGCAACAGAAGTGACTCAATGCAAATACCAGAAATATGGAAGATATTGTTACCACCAGTCAGTCAAATCACAGGAGGATAATAAATAATCACAAAATTCTATTTCAATTAAATTCAAGCACATCACAACATTCTCACAAGTTACTCTTATTTATTTTGACCATAAAAACACTCGTTTTATTTCCCATCTGATTGTACTTGATTGATAACACTCACATTAATATTTCTGAATGCACATTATCTCATATTGATTTTTATTCAAATGTCTAATCATCAACTCCACACATGTATATAAATGAAGGAAGAAAGGTGTGCCAGTGAGTAACTTGATATGATTATGACTGGCAATAGTTTGTGCTCGAAACGTGGTGATCAGTTAATATTACTGTATAACACTACACTGTGTGATATATCATAATAAAATCTTATCCATAATGGAGTTATGCCTCTACCACAGTGCCCAAGTTATATACTTAATTTTTAATTTTAATTACAGCTTGATTCCACACCGTATTTTCGGTACAAGTATGGAATTTTCAGAAGGGATATCGGTAGCCCAAATTTTGCAGGCCGACCATAGATATCAGGTGTGTGTCTGTCGGGGATCGAACCCCAGACCATGTGGATGGTCGGTTAGAGTCCTAACCACTGTGCCACTTATATGAAATGGCTTGATTTGTTCTTAATCACAATGAGATGAAAAGAAAAGCATATATATATATATATCTATCGATCAGTGATGTAATTTTTAGCGATTAAAATACTCACACTTGGCGGGGGGGGGGGGGTGGAATGTGGGAAAGTAAAGCAAAGGTGATTAATTTAATTAATACAGTAAGACGCATTGTGTGTATCGCAATTATAAGACTGTATATATATACAGTAGGCAGAATTTACGACAGGACAGACAGTAATGAATAATAATAATGATAATAACATTCGACAGATCACATTAATGTTGTGAAAAAGAGTGAAAGTAACCTACACACAAATATACAAGAAGGATGCGAAACGACAGAACAGCTGAGTGGTGGGAGCTTTCCCGAGAAGAAGAAAACCCAAACAAAGCGAGTTAGCTTAGTTGTGATGATGATGTCATCTCATGCTGTTATACAACGTTGAAATTAGGGAATTAAATTAGGGATTTGATGTGGCTATTTTAAAATAGCAGTGCTGAAACAAAAATCCCCAAATGGATAGCATAAAAGACAAAAACTTGTGAGTTTATATGTGTCAAGAAGTTGAGGGAATAAAATTCACATTTGAATCAGAAAATGAACAAAAAGAATTAGCTATGTGAGATTGTAAGATGAAAAGAATAGAAGAAGGCAAACTACACACTAGTGTTTATAAAAAACCAACGCATTCTAATAGATATTTAGACTTTAATTCGTCTCATCCTTTAACTGTTAAGACAGGCTTAGTTAAATGTTTAACAAACCGAGCAGTGGCACTAAGTAGCACAAAAAAAGATCTAAATGATGAATTAAAACAGATAGAAGAAGCGTTGGTGTTGAATAACTATCCTATAAAATTCATTAGGAAGATCAATAAAGGCCAAAAACAAAATAAAAATAATTGTGAAACCAGTAATAATAACATAAATAAGAAAGAATATAAGTCATCCACAGTTATACCATATAAAGAGGGGACATCTGAGACACTACGTAGGATTCTGAATAAAATAGGAATTAGGGTGTCATTTAAACCTACAAACTCACTCAGAGACAAGCTCTGTAGGTTAAAGGACCCAGTTGACCCAATTACACAAAATAATATTATTTACAAAATACTATGCAATGACTGTGAGGTCAACTACATAGGTCAAACTAGTAGGTCAGGAGTAGTCAGATTGTCAGAGCATAAGAATTTAGTTAAGGTAAAAATGGTTGACCCGAGAAAATAAGTAATTTAGAAAAAAGCTCAGCAATTGCAATGCATGCGCTAACACACAACCACACGATAGGGTGGGAGAGGGTTAAAATTCTAAGAAGTAATATAGGTAGGTGGAGATAGAGAGATATTGATTACTGAATCCTTGTTCATCGAGTCTACACCCAACACATGCAATAGGAATGACTCGTCACTCATACCTGAAATATGGAAAATACTATTACCAATCAAATCAAGTGAAAATCAAGAGAAAAACAATGGAACTATATAAATGAATTTAGGAAGTCGTGTGATTACCTTAATATGATTATGAGCAATAAATTGTGCTCGAAACGTCATCAGTAAACATTACTGTATAACACTGTGAGACTTTATCAAAACAAAATTTACCCATAAGGGAGTAAGGCAAGACTGCCTACTATCGCCAATGATTTTCCTCAGTGAGGGCGGTAGACTGGATAATGCGACGGACAACGGGCAATGAGGAAACAGGCATAAAATGGACCGTTACATAAAACTTGGAGGTTCTCGACTTCGCCGATGATGATATATGTCTGATTTCCCACAAACTGGAAGATATGCAAGTGATGAAAAGCAACAAATTGGTAAGAGAAGATGGATCAAAGATACAACTCCAAGTAAGTATAGAGGAAACAGAGGTGATGAAGATTCCTGGCCAACACCACCACCTACAACAACAACAGGCAACAATCAGCCAGCATAAATGGGAGGGACCTGAAAGAAACAACCTCCTTTACCTACCTACCTACCTACCTGGGAAGCATCGTTTCAACTACAGGCCGATGGAACTGACGAGGATACCAAATCAGCAAGGATCGGAAAAGCAAGACAAGCTTTCATTACTCTCAAATCTGTGTGGAGGTCAACAGCACTCAGCTCGAAAATGAAAATAAGATCCGAATTTTCAGCTCCAATGTGAAGTCAGTCAGTGCTACTCACTATACGGATCAGAGACTTGACCAGTGCGTCATGAGGAGCACCTCAAACAAACTACAGACCTTGATTAACAGCTGGTTGTCGTCGCTCAATACTACTCAAGTTCAGCTGGTCGGTCAGGAAAGACGAGCAACAGATTGGGATCTCTGGCAATCAGCGAACCAACCCAGCAGGAACCGACTGTCCAACAAATAAGCAGGAAGAAATGGAGATGAATTGGTCATACTAGACAAGCCACTGCTCGGGTGGAACCCGAAAGGGAAGCGGCGAGTCAGTTGGTCACCAGTGCAAGGATGACGTGGAGGAGGTCATGTGAAAAGGAGATGAAAGCATGTGGACAGACCTGGAGCCAGATGAAAACTTTAGCAGAGAACCGAACGCAATGGAGACGTGAGCGGCTGAAGCCCTATGTTCCTCTAGAAGCTAAAGGAAACAATGAATGTATATGTCGAAGCTCATCCATGAAATTGTGTCACTCGTGCATATTTTGCGAACCCCTCAAAAGAAACACTTCACTAAGGAACGTTTATATACTGGATAGGAACAAAACTAGTGAAATGAAGATATTGCCTGTTATATATGTTTATTTATCGGTGATATTATTATCCCAGATATCACTGGTTAGATTTCAACTCATCCACCCAGTATATATGATTAAGTAATTGAGATATGAGATTATATAAGTGAGAATTATGAATCAATCTTCACATAAGGGTCAACTGTTTGTGGAATGTGATCCACACACACACTAACACCAACACCATTCTACATAAGATTGAAGACAATGATAAGATGAGTTTCATTGACCGCCATTCACATAAGTAATAAAAGACAATCAAGCCTGTTTAATAACTATTTCCAGAGTTTTCTGATTAAAAGTGGAGAAGAA